CATGGATGTCTGAACCTCGTATTTTTCCAGCCTGCTTACAGGCCAGGGCCTCACAGTGCTTATTAGGTCCTGCCCTCCAGACAAGTGGCTCTTTTCTCTGGAAGTTGGACTTGGGGAGAGTGTGAGTTATTCAAGGGCATAGTCTGGGTCTTCCTCACTTTGGAATTTCCAGTAATGGGCAGATAGAAAGCACTCAACAGATAGCTGTCGCATGAATTAATGAATAACAATAGCTTACATTTTTAGAGCACTTATACCGTGAGAGGCACTGGTCAAAGAACCCCACAATAAACACATTATCCCAGTTTTACAGATTGGGAACGTGAAACACAAAGATGTTTTGTAATTAGCCCAAAGAATGCCAGCCAGCTGTGGTGGAGGTACAACTTGGTCTCAGGACTCATTCTCTTAGGCTTTACGATCCCCACAGCTTAGAAGGTTTCATTGCAAACTCTTATTATGGCAACTTGGAGGGAACATACTCAGGGGCTAGTCGATTATATTTGTACTAAGTGAGAAAATTATGCACAATTCTGGAATAATTCCCCCTTTTCTTTCCAACGTAGTTTATGATTTTTTCCTCTTAGCAAATTTACGCTACTACTTATGTTTTGCTTAGCTAACATGGTATTTCATTGGCATTCCCTGAGTGCACAGGGGTTGACGGCGGAGCGGTGCTGGGTGACAAAGGCAAGCCAAACAGGATTAAACTCTGCTGAATCACCAGGTGGATAATCCACCATGAATGCTTGAGAGGGGAGTGTTGGGATCACGCCCCTTCCCGGGACTTTTCTTGGGGAAATAAAATCGGTGACAAACATGATGCTCGAACACTCACATCAACGATGGCACCTGCTGTACCCATTCCGTGCAGGGGGATAATGCAGAGGTGAGGTGTGGGTCAGCAGCAGAGGCAGGAAGCAGGTGGGGCTCCCACGCCACTGTCCAGAGTCTCTTAGGAGAAAATCTGGACCCTCCCGTGTCTGTGACTGTATTAGTTTGCTAAGACTGCCCTAACAAGGTACTGCAAACTGGGTAGCTTATATAACAGGAATTTATTGTCTCACAGTTCTGGAGGCCAGAAGTCTGAGCTCAAGGTGCTGGCAGGGTTGGTTCCTTCCAAGGGCTCTGAGGGAGAATCTGTTCCTGGCCTCTTCGTGAGCTTCTGAAGGATTGCTGGCAACCTTTGGCGCTCCTTGGCTTATAGACACATCACTCCAATCTCTGTCTTTATCTTCATGTGTCATTCTCTCTACGTGCCTGCTTTTGTGTCCAAATTTCTTCTTCTTTTTTTTTTATAAGGATAACAGTCCACCCTACTACATTATGATCTCATCTTACCTAATTATATCTGCAACAAACTTATTTCCAAATTAGGTCATATTCTGAGGATCTGGGGGTCAGAACTTCAACGTATGAATTGGGGGAGGGCACAATTCGACCTGTACCAGCAACTTTGTCCCTCTATCCCTTTTGACACAGTGATGATCATATGCAGGAATATTTCCAGATTTCAATAATTCCAAGTCTACTGTCTGGGGTTGCAGGCACTTCTAGTACTGTTTTGCTTTGTGGTTGAGAGACAGCAGCCTGGGGCTGGGAAGCAATTTGGGACTATGACTTAGAGCAAAGTTGGTAGGCTTTCACAGGAATTTGGACTCAGAATTTCATTCCCATGATATTTTAATCCAGTGCATTCAGTGGCTCAGAGGACCTTGTCCTTATTAGCCTGGTGCTGTACGTAGCTGACCTAACAGTGCTGCGTGTGTGTGTGTGTACATGTGAGTGTTGTGGGCATATATAACTGTGTACACATAACATTGGAGACAGAAATAGCTCTGAGAACTATCCCTTTGTTACCCATCAGATAAAATTATTCTCTGCTTCATTAGGTGCAGTGTTTCTTCATTTGCATTTCCTAACATTTTCGTGTATTTCTCCCCAAGTGCATATGCAAAGAGCTGCAGCCTCCATGTCAACCTGGTCATCTTACCATGATTTCTAGGAAACAATGTGTGTTACTGGTTCAGGCCTTCCTTCCATCTAGACAGACTGCACTTCTCCTTTCTCTGCACAACAGCTCCTCTCTGTCTTTTGAAAGCAAATGTCACCTATTCATTATAGTCTTCCCCAACTTTGTTAGGTGGAGTTTCATTAGCACCTTTCTGGAGTTTTTACACCTATGTTACGATCCCACATGCTATACTTTGGTGGTCTTTTTACCTACCTCTTAAGACTGTCTACATAATTTTTGGGCCTTGTGCAAAATGAAAATGTGGGGCCCCTTTTTAAAGAAGTTATGAAGAATATCACAATGGAGACAGCAGACAATACACTAAGTGTGGGGCCCTCGTAAGAGCGTGTCCCATGAAGTTGGGCTTATCTGTCTGCCTGGTTCATGGACTGTGTGTGAGCTCCTCAGTTCCCCAGTGTCCATCACTCCACAAGTGTTGGATGAATAAATGAATCAATAGATGAATGACTACAAGAATAAGCTTTTGACAAAAGGCAGCCATTTTGTAAGAGAGATACCGCTGTTTTTAACTGACTGCAGAAACCCTCACAGAATCACTGAGGTGAGAGGGAAAAAAGTGGCTGCATGCAATTATTTGTAATAACAAATAATCATACTTTGTATGCATGTAAGAGTTTTCATCTTCAAAACACTTACAAAACATTAATTAATCCTTACAACAGCATCAATGAAATTGAAACTAGAGGGAGAATTTGAGGTATGCAAAATTTAATTACCAATATTAAAATTTGGCACACAACTAACACTCCTCCCGCTAAGGCAGTAAACACATTCCGTGGCATCTCCTCTCTCTCTGGAAAAAAAAAACAAAAACACAAAATTAACATGGGAACTTAGTTCTATCATATCAGTCAGGAAGGAGGCAAAGCTCTCTGCTGAGAACCCCTAAGGGGTGGTAGAGGTATTTATACATCTGAGGGAGGGTTGCATTTATTCACTTCTGAGTTCCCTTAAGATTCTGGGCTCTAGGATTTGGAGAGCCAAGATAAGTGTGGTCGTGAACACAGGCTGGGCTCATTTTGAACCAAGATGTGGGGAATTCTGTGAGGTCATGAGGTAAAGCTCAACTAGCTATGCTGAACCTGTGAGAAAAAGAATGGTGGTGATTTCTTGGAGTCTAGAGCTACATTCTGATACTCTGGTGAGGACTTTATCCATATCATTTGGGATGAGGAAGAAAGACTGGCCTTGGGTACAAAGAGAGCTACTGGGCCCACAGTGACTGGGCAACATGAGCTGCTTTTGGAACCCTGAGCCTTCTGACCTTTTGGATTCTCTCGGCTGGAGGGATGGGGGCCAGGTACTGGTGCACTGTCGCAGGGGAAGGAGTTGCCTGTCCCCTCTGGAGCAGGGAGAGCCCCTGGCCACCAGGTTTCTGTAGCCCACACAGCACGATGCCTGCTGGTGGGGGCTCTCCTAGTGCTCTCAGCCAAGGACTCCTGCCTCCTAAAGGGAGGGAGAGTGGAACTCCCCATTTCTTTAATGTGGGCTGTGCACAGTGACTTCCTTCCAAAGAGGACAGTACAAAAAGGGGGCAAGTAAGAGGATAACTTTTCGGAGGAGACCTATGACAACTACTACTTCAGCCAGGTGATGATCAGGTGAACATCAAAGTGTAAATGCTTGTTGTTATTTTCTTCTTCAGGCCTAGATTTCTTCTCTGAAATACTCTGACCTCTTCAGAAGGTAGATAATCTCGCTGACATTAAAGCTTGCTTTGAAAAACTGCTCCGGACAGTGGCAATTAATCATCTACCTGGTGAGTTTCTGTTTTCTTGTTCTGGTGCATGGCCATAACCATCCACAACCTGACCTACCGCCATTCCCACCTCTGCTCATTGGCCATTACTTCCTGGGTCAGATCCTCCCTTGCCGACCCCACTTGTTTTGGGTCCTGACATTTTCCGTGGTCTCCCTGCAGACCACTGAAGATCAGTCATGAGGGCCCGTGAAATGGCAGTGACAGAAGTGGGAAAAGCTTTAGACGGTGTGTCTTGGCGGGAAGGTGACTTGGGTCACACAGAGTCTTGAGACTGAAGTACTAATAATACTTTGCATAGGAGTAGTGGTGAGGGAAGAATTTCTTTTATGAAACTCCCAACCACTACCCAAGCCTGACTCCTGTAAATGACAGAAATGAAGGCAGATGAGAGTGAACGTCCCCAGAGTGAATATATACCAGCTCCACTTTGTGTTTGCTAATCCCATGTAATTCATTTTAGTTTCTTTTTTCCTTTAAAAAAATTTTTTTTTTTTTTTAAAAACAAGCATTAAAGCATGCTTCAGTGCTCCTTGATATGCAAAGCAGCGGCCCCAGGGAGCCTGGGCCTTTTCTGGCCACTGTGCCTTTGGAAGCCAGGGTGTGCCGGAAGGCCTGGGGGTGAGGGCACAGCTGTGGCTTGATGCTGTTTGTTGGAGGTATCTTCATAGTGTGTTGCAATGGGCTTCCCTTGGCTTCCCAAGCCTCCAGCTCAGAGAAAGACAAAACCAATTGGATATTGTGTACGTACTTGTCAAGCTGTTTATTTGCGGTTCACACTAGTTATAACATTGGATTTACAGAAGAAACTGTGGTACAAAGAAAGTAAGGCTGCAATGGCTCCTGGGCAGCAGCAGTCCAGCTGCCCTGCACAGGCTGGGCACGGTGACTGCTCCCGGAAGAGGGGAAGCCCCAGCTATGCACAGTGGACTGCCTGCTCTCCTGTGCTGTCCGGAAACACCCTGGAGATGGGTGGGGGGTGCGGTTCTGGAATATTCTCTTAATATTATCTGGTTTAAAACCTGAGCTTGACAGTTCCCCTCAGGAGGTGTTTGATACGTTATTACCGGAGAGAATGAAACCCACACAGAAATTTTCAGGATGCTTCCTGACCAGATCTAATAATTGCCACACAAATAGACGCTAGGTGGGGGCTTGTTTAATCATGACTACATTTCCTGTTGCTTTTTGGATAGATGGGTTATATTGTCATTTCATTGTCAATTTGGAAGTTTATTTTTTCCATTGATTTTTACACATCCAGAATAACACAAATAACCAACAATTCTTTTTGGTTTTTGCACATTCATTTCTCCTAGAACAAAAAGTGAACTTTAAAAAAAAAAATTGGAACCATGCTATTAGCTGTTTACAAAAATGAGTAAGTAGCTTGTGTTTAAGTCTAAAATAAACAAAGTAAAAAGAAGCATTTTTTTCTACAGTATGTAGCAAACATAAGGAAATGTCCTTAGAAACACACACAAAAAATTGAAAAAAGTTATTATAGGCATTAACAATATTTTATAATGAAGCTTAAAATCTATTTACATACATAAATACAATTAACTTTGTTGATGCAACTCTTCTGGAAGGAAAAAAATAGCCAAATGATCAGCCTTATCAATACTGACCTGGCTAAAAGGGAGGAAAAAATTCCCAACAAACAAAAAACCCAAACAAATGTATATGTTAGGGTAAACAAAAAAGCATTTTGTTCAGATGTAAAAAAAAGTTTTCTGAGATTATTGACAAACCAATTTTCATGTATAAAAGACCCCCAAACATGTCATTGCCCCCAGAAATAAAAACCACCAAAAATAAAAAATCACCAGGACGGAATGTCCCAAGGAAACAGGCATTTCAAGACAGAAATCTGCAATCCTAAATTGCAGGGCATTTGAGTGAAACCATTCATTTCCTTTCTAATCAGAGCATTTCTGTTTGTCTACATGGAAACCCTAGGCAGCAGAAAGGCGATTTACTCACTATTGTAATTTGCCCAGGAAGGTTTTTGTTGCTGCATTTGGACAGCAAGCAGATCCAAAATGGTTGGCAATGTCTCTGTTCTGCTGGAAGAAACCCATAAACAGGAGAAGGCTGACTCACCATGTTCCTTTATGTAAAGGGAGAAGAACTGGATCTCCTTGTGTTGTGGACATTTGGTACTGGGATGGGGGTGTGTGCTATCTCCTTAAGAGAATGTGGGAGAGTGGAGGAGGGAATGGAAGTGGGGGTATGGAGGAGGGAGAGGAGAGAGAAAGAGATACTGGGGGGCAGCGAGGGAGAAATTTATTTTCAGATATTGAGAAAAACAGAAAGAACTGAAATATGTGTCCATGTTGAAATCGTAAATAAGGGCATGAATAAGCAGTAGAAATAGCTTATTCAATCTTTCTTGTCCTGAACCAAAGCTCCCAGATACATCCGATTATCACAGGATTGGCTTTAAGTGTCTCACTAATACCTTACTATACCTGAAGGCAATGACTAAAAAGACACCTTCATTCACCTGAAGGCAATGGAGGCAATGCCTCAGGAAAAAAAAAAAAAAAAAAGAGTTGAAACCTATCTCCAAAATAACTAAGGTTTGATTTTTTTTTCTGAAAAAATTAAATACTATATATGCTGGTAAGAGTCTGTGAAGCTCTGAATGACCAAACCAGTGAGTCCACAACAAAGTGACCAGCCCTACCCATACACAGCTTTAAGAGTGAAGGTTCAATGTGAGAGATTATCTGATTCCCCTTGTGGGGGTGGTAGGCTGGTTTTGAGTGGGATTATCTTTATGTACCAGAATTGAACTGAAAAATGTTAAGTGTTTTCCTTCATTTTCCCCCAGCATTTTCTCAGGTCAGATATGGCAACGTGTGCTGAAAAGAACATTTAAGTTCATTTTGGGGGAAATGGGCTAATGATCCTTTTCAGAAATTAAATTTTTAAGTTTTCTGACATTTGATGGTAATCCAGCTGCAAAAATGTAATATGGAATAATGTATGAAACTGAACTGTGGAGGGAGCTATGTCTCAAATGAAAATGAATATATTCTGAGTTTCTCCAAGATCTACTATAGCTCTTCCCTATATAAGAACGACCTGACAACACAAGCTGCTTTATTCTTTAACTCTTACCAAAGTGCTACTGCATCTGTGTAAAACAAATAATCAATATATATATAAGAAAACTAAAAAACAAGTTGTTTTAAATAAGTCCAGCTGTTTTGCTGCCTGCAGCCAAAGATTTGTCTAATTTGAATGCTTAAATTTATAAAATAAAAATCAAACACTGTTCTGAAGTCCTGCTTTCAAATACTCTTCAGAGTTGATCTGAAATTGTTTCAACTAATTTTAAGAGGTACATTAAATAACAACCAGATCATTTTGAGCACACATATGTCAAAATCAGCAGTTAGTATTTATGAGTTGTACAACAACTGCATTCTGACCAAATCCTCCAATAAAAATAGTGCCATAAAATTTACAGTGACATTGGATACCTTTGAATCGTAGCCATGGACAGCAGTGACACGAATCTTTCCTGTCATGCTGGTGCACAGGTGAAAGTGCACACACCCCACAGGGTAGGGTCTCAGCCTGGTGAAAGCAACACAAAGATGGTGGTGAGTGAGCAGCATGGATTGGGGTCCTGCACAGGTAGGATGATGTTCTCCCAAGTGACTCCACTGAGGCATACTGAGAGAATTGGCTGCTCCAGGCCTGCTTCTGGTGGGCCCCTAAATTCATTCATTTGCTTTTTATGTAAATGATACCTTTCCACACAGTTTACTTTGGATGTGTTCTGTTGTAAAGCCTATGTGAAATCATCAGAAGGCCATGGAGTGAGCAAATCCCTAGGCAGAAATTAAATCCTCTCCAAAGGTGTAATCATTGGCACCTGTCTGAACCCTTTGGGACCAGATTTGACCTTCTCTGAACAGAGGGAGCCAGATATGAGACTCTTTGTTGAGCCTGGCAGAAAATTCCATACTTTTGATCCTCTGAGTGACCCTCAGTGCCTAAAAAATCCTGTTAAAAACATTGCTGCATTAGCTACCAACTTGTTTAACATGAAAGGGAGTTTAATGTAAACAATACTTCTAGATAACCAAGTGATCACATTAACCATCATTTTTTTCCAGCCTTCTTCAATGTGATACATTTAACTTTGGCTACTATCAAAAAACAAAACAAAATGTAGTACTTGATATTTTTCTCCTTAATATAAGTACATTTAAATAATTAAAAAAGTATCAACACATTAGTAAATGTCTGAACATCAAGATACATAAATATCTAGGGATTCCTTGTGGGAATACAGTAGTTAAAAATGACCCAAAGCTGTAGATGTTTCTCAAAAAAAACAACTACACAAAAGTCCAAAAGTTAAATAAAACTTACAGAAAAGGGAATCATATTTCTTTCAACTGTCAAAGCAAGAAAGAAGCAAGCTCAAATTTATATAGATATATAAAAATAAAAACCACCCAAATGCAAATATGCATTTTGCAATTTATAAGGTGCGGAAAAGAAAAATTAAAAAAATAAGAATTAGATGCCAAACAGGATGAGTTGCATTTCCCCCCCAACTCAAATTCCACACTCTTTGGAATAAACAACTTGGTTAAAAAGTGAAGTCAAGGGTATAAAATCTTTCTTTTATTCACAGCATTGCTAAATCAGAAGCATTCACAGTTTCCCTCTGGGAATCTTCCTGTTTGCTTTTTACAACGTGTCCACATGGTGGTGGTTAGCGGACACCCTCAAGTTGCGTCAGGTTCGAAAAATCTGCGACGGGCCAACAGCGATAGCGAACTGCACGGGCTTCGGAGGCGCAGGAGGCTGCCCGAGGCCGGCCGGGTGCGAGATCCCGGGCAGGACGGCAGGCGCGCTCGCCCCGCGGCCGGGCCCAGGGGGGCTTCTCGGTAACAGACGGCTCGGCCCGGCAGGCGGGCGAAGGAGGCTCTTCCACGACGTCAGGCGGCAAGGGCCGGCCCGTCGGGCGAAGACGCCGCTGCTGCCGGGCGAGGCCCCGCGCCGCCCCTCAGTAGGGCCGCCACACGGCCTCCTCGAGGCGCGCGGCGGGCGCCATGTTGGTGGGCGAGTTGCTGTGGCTGCCCTCGGCCTCCACCACGTCGCTCTGGTTCGGGAGGCTGGGGTTGAGCAGCGCCGAGCCCGTGGAGGCGTTGGTGCAGGGCGGCAGGATGCGCGGCGGCGAGCGCTCGCCGCCCACCATGGAGAACTGGTAGGAGCCGGCCGAGGCGCCGTAGTACAGGTAGGGCGAGCTGGCCTGGAAGGGGCCGCCCTGCGCCTGCGACGAGCCGGGGTAAGGCGGCGGCAGGTACGTGTGGTAGCGCGTGGCCGAGCTCATGGCCGACATGCCGATGCCGATGCCCGAGGTGACGGGCGTCGGGGAGTAGGTGAAGGCGCCGGGGTAGTGCATGCGAGGGTCTGAGATGGAGGGCAGCGCGGGGAACTGGCGCGGGTCGCCGAAGGCCGTCAGGTCTGGCGCGGCTGCGGGGTGGGTGAGAAAAAAAAATCCCCGTCAGTAAGGAGTCGGGAAGCGCGTGCTTCCACCCCAGAATGCTCCCGCCTCAGGAGATGAGGGCTACCCAGAATGCCGCTGCCCCGGAAGACTGGGGTCTACCCAGAATGCCGCTGCCCCGGAAGACTGGGGTCTACCCAGAATGCCGCTGCCCCGGAAGACGGGCATCTATCCAGAATACTATCACTGGAAAAGATGGGGGACTACCCAGACGCTCCTGCTCAGGAGGAAGGCATGATGCAGTAATATAAGGCAGTAACATAGGCCGGGCGCGGTGGCTCACGCCTGTAATCCTAGCACTCTGGGAGGCTGAGGCGGGCAGATCGCTTGAGGTTAGAAGTTGGAAACCAGCCTGAGCAAGAGCGAGACTCCGTCTCTACCATAAATAGAAAGAAATTAATTGGCCAACTAATATATATATATATATAGAAAAAATTATCCGAGCATGGTGGCGCATGCCTGTAGTCCCAGCTACTCAGGAGGCTGAGGCAGAAGGATTGCCTGAGCCCAGGAGTTTGAGTTTGCAGTGAGCTAGGCTGAAGCCACGGCACTCACTCTAGCCTGGACAACAGAGTGAGACTCTGTCTCAAAAAAAAAAACAACAAGAAAAAAGATAGTGACATAAGATAGCAGGTAATGTAATATGACATACAATATATGAAATGATATTGTACAGTATGTATAGTATAGATAAATGCATAGTTATACTATAATATGTATACTATAAATCAAATATTCATATAATCCCAGAGTTAGCAAACTGCAGCTTGCCAAACAAATCTGGCTGCCACCAATTTTTGCATGTCCCAGGAGTTAAGGATGTGTTTTAATTTTTTTAAATGGTTGAAAAAAAATCCAAAGAATATTTTGTGATGTGAAAATTGTAGGGAATTCAAATTTAAGTGTCTATACATAGAAACTCAGACTCATTATTTTATGTATTGTCTATGGCTGCTTCTGTGCTACCACTGTAAAGTTGAGTGGTCATGACAGAGATCATAGGGTACATAAAACATAAAATATTTATTCTCTGGCCCTTTATAGAAAAAAGTTTGCTGAACCTCTATTTAATCAACATATTAATAACATAATCTGTGATAGTAACATGATAATTTATTAACATATAATTACTAGTGTAATGTTACTTTTCATACAATATATACAATATGTTATATTGTATTCTAACAAAATATTTTGCACATAATATTTAGGTTGAATCATAGAAAATTGCCATTTTTTAGGCTTGAACAATAGTTAAAAATGTTGGTAATTTCCTAATGAATGGCATAGCAGTCACTATTGAGTGAATGTCAGTGAATAACATTGCTACTCTTCTCTTTTCCCATATCTGCTGTCAGACTAGTCACACATTTTTAGAAACAAAACAGAATCAGTTTCTGCTGGCATTCTCTAATATGTGCTTCACTGGTTTGTTAACACAAATGGATGTAGGGCCTTGATTTATCTACTCCATTTTTTGCACATGTTGAAATTTTATCAGGAATGACAAAGCTTTGCCTTTATTTTGTTATGATCATGCATCATTTTGTTAGGATTGTGCATTTACAGTTTCACAAACTGGCTTTGGCTATCCTGTGGTTCACTGCCTCCTGTATTTTTCTTACCTATAGGCTGCCTTTGGGAACTCCTAGAGAGTTTGGGTGCCAGGAAAGGTACCCTGTGTTCTGTAGATCAGAGTTTCATAACAGTGACGCTATTGACATTTTGGGCCAGATAATCATTTGTTGGGGTGGTATGGGAACAGTTCTGTGCATTGCAGGATGTTTGGGAGCACCTCTGGCCTTTACCCACTAGATGCCAGTAGCATCCCCCTTACCCCATGTGACAACCAAAAAAGAAAAGTCTCCAGACATTGCCAAATATTCTGAGGGTTGGGGTGAGGGGAGGAAAGTCACCCCTGTCTGAAAACCACCACTGTAGATGTAGGATGGTGTCCTGGGGTGATTTTAGTTCCTCAGAATTATTCATTAAATGACCAGGCTAGGACTATATAATCTTTTCATCAGCAAATCCAAAGATAGCAACAAACAGCAGAAGCACGTATTAAATGTTTTAAAATTTGAAGTTCTCAAATCGACATACAAAATAACTCTTAAGCTCAGATGGCATGTGGCCTGTGTCCTTTTGAGTTCTGGCCGAAAGAGAAACTTGATGGATCCAAAAGCTTGCTGTGAAAGGAAAGCTACCAGGGTGGATTAATCTGTTTTTGGAAGGCATCAGCAGTTGATCAACTTCCTCATATTTCAGGCCTATTATTCCAGCAGGGAGAGCTGCTAGTGTGGTATTCTCTCTCTCTCTCTCTCTCTCTCTCTCTCTCTCTCTCTCTCCCCCCCCTCTCCCCCACCTTCCATCTCTGTCCCTTTCTCTGTCCCCTTTCTCTCTCCCCTTCCCCCTTCCCTCTCTCTCCCTCTCCCTCCCTACCCCCCCTTACCCCTCCCTCCTTCTAATTGTCTTTTATTGCTCTGGCACATTTTGTAAAACTGAATTCCTCTGTACATTTGGGGTGAATGTGAGAGGGGATATACTCCTCATCAGAGAGGTAATTAAAGTTTATAGAAACAGCCGAAGTCTGTAGCAAATCCCTCCACTAATGAGGAAACCAGGAGTCTGACTTTCAAACAAACATTCCTGTTAATATTTTCAAAGCAAGTCAGACATGTGGGCAGGGAAAAAGTTGTAAACTGACAGTGGTTCTGGGGCTGCCCTTCCTTGGCCACTCTCTAGCTCACTCTCAAGCCAGGCCACACCTCATTCCACAGGGTTCATCCCTGCCCGCTCGCTGGAGCCATCTGTGAGCAAGCCCTGTGTCACTTGTTATTGCTTACATGGAGAGCTGTGACATATTTGAGAGTTAACAGGAAGCTTTACTTCATTTTTCCAGTTAGATTTATATGGTCTAGGGAGAAGCTGAGGTAGGAGGAAAAGCATTAGGCAAATAAAATCAATTTGTTGTCATCTGATGCAATCCTTTGGACACAAATAAATGACTCTGCCCATTATTCCTCTTGCTTCATTTGCCCTGAGACAAAAAGGTGAATCCAGTGGAAAATGAATGAAAGGTCACCCTGTTTCACAGCAGTGTCTGGACATGCTCTGCCAGTCCGTTCCAACTACTACATGGTAATGTGGTGATGGTACCAAGTTACAGGAATCCGGAGTGAGTCCATGATTTGTCATGGGCGTAAGTACTGGAATGATGTTATGGTCTTAGCTGTCGGGGGAAAATAGTTCTTTCACTTGTGGACAGAACATTTGAAAGATCCGAAATATTGCCTGTGATTATTCTCTCTACACATGAACAACATCATACTAAAAAAGATCATCCATTTGCTCAAATTATCTTTTTTTTAATACACATTTTGATAATAAAACAACTTAGGCCCCCTAGATATGCTCAGATTCAAATGATCTATTCAAATGTTGGTTTTCATTTTTAGTTCTTGTCTGACATCTTTTATTAAGACCCATCAGTCACGGACGATTCACCCATCTGCCCAGAGCTTATCTATCCTTTTGGCTGGCCTGGTGTCCCCTTATTCAGTAGCAGTATGGGCAGAGGTGGGGACCCTTGATATTCATAGGGAGTTTTTTAAGAGTAGGAAATCTGGGGATTAGGAGATTCAGGTATTTTGGTTGGAAATGTTTCCCCATTGATGGGGCTAAATATTTGCAATGACAGCTCAAGTCTTCACTTTACAGCTTGACATGAATGAAAGTAGCCCCACTCCAGGGCCCTCCCACTGCCCCAAAAGGATTAAACAACCTGAGCAGATAATGGCTGCCTTAAAAGGATCCTTTGCATGACTCAGATTAATGCATGCTGTCTGTCGCCCAGGTTGGCAGCTAAACATTAATTTTTTTAAAAAAGAAAAAAAAAAAGAAAAGTAAACCTCCAGATGACAACTCTTTTCAGACAAGGTGTGGAGTCTGTCTGCAAAGGATAGAAAGAGAGAGACACAGAGTCCAAGTCCCCAGTGCAGAAGGAAACCCAGGTGGGGCTGGGGGCAGGGAGAGGGGCAGCACATAGAGCTGTCGGCAGGCAGTCGGATTAAAAGGTAAAGCAGCCATAGAGCAGTGTCAGGTTCTCAAAGCTGTCGGCCAGGCAGCCACTTTCCTTTCATGTATCCCAACCCCCTCCTGCCCCCAGGTTTATGACAACACTTTTCAGGCCTGTGCTCCAGGCTTGATTTCTCAGAGGGAGTTCTGCCAAGTTGAAGAGCAGTCTCCCGTGCTGTTCTCTGCCACTGGTGAAAGCTCATCTGGAATTCTCTGGTCCTCCCTCCAAGACAGCAGAGGATCATTCTTGGGTGCTGAAATGGGACATGGTTTTTATCTACTTCACACTCCCATGCCATAAAACATCCTTCCTTACTACTTAGGTGATTGAAGTCCAGGCTATTCAAAAGTGTAACTGTGATATGGGATTTTGGAGTACACATGTTACTCATTCCTTTTAAAAAAGTCACCCTTAATCTGAACACTGGTCAGCTGGAGGAGCTGGCCCCTGCAGTTCTTGGACTACAAGGTGCCGATTTTGGGTGGTGACCAAGTCAAAAGACTTATGTAGTAAATTCCAAGGGACAGACCTACTGCAGGGACATTTCCAAGGAGAACAGTAATAGTTTCAGGTGTAGACCACAGCAAGTGGGCAGAGCAGTGCCACTAAGAAGAATCAGTAAAAGCTGGCAAAGGCCTTTGGATTCAGACTTTCTTCCTGAGGGACAAGCTTCTAGAAACCATAAGATGAACTGATGCCATAATCCCTGTGCTATTCTCTCAACTCCTTAACTAGGAGGTACCATGAAAATGTTGGCATTAATGTTCAAAAATAATGTGAAAACTGAGCACCTAGGTTGGCTTTCCTATTTTACTATAGCACCCAAGAATACTGGAAGGCATTGGTTCCCAACTGGGGGCAGTTTTGCCCCTCAGGGGACATCTGGCAATGTCTGGAGACAATTTTGTTTGTCACATGGGGGGAAGGGGAGCGTGCTGCTGGCATCTAGAGGCCAGGATGCTGCTAAATATTCTGCAATGCAACAGGAATATTCTGCAACAGGACAGACTCCCATAACAAAGAATTATTGGGCCCAAAGTGTCAATAGTGAGCAGCTCTGGGAAGGCATTCTGTGAAGCTCTAAGCAGCAGCTAAGGCCTCTGGTGAAACCTCAAGTAATCACAAGTGTCTGGAAAAAAACAACATTATACAACATTTAAATATGGCAGACATGACTTCTTTGCCCCTTTGACTGCCCCCTAATCTGCTATAATCTGATCCCAAGAGCTGAAAAGCAAAACCTATCTCCCTTCCCCCAACACACATGCAAGTGTGTTTGCAGGCATGTAATGCTGGAGTTCTCTGAAGTGTTTTCACAGTTTTGGCTAGCTCCAATTTCAAAGCCGCAAACAGTAAGATTCTTCTGCCTTCAACAAAGGAATTTTTCTCTGTAACTCCGATTTCCCTGCCCATGAGCAAAGGCAGTGCCAAGCCCAAAGGGCCCATAGGTTAAATGACTAATATTTAATGAGCTCGTATTAACAACAATTATGCTAACCATGACACCTGAGCTTTTGACACTGTTCCTCTAACCTCAGTATGAATAGCTCTTAGTTGGAAATTTGGGGTATATGGTTGGCCCTCTGTATCCATGGATTTAGAAACTGCGGATCGAAAATATTTTTTTTAAAAAAAGGATGGTCGTATATGTACTAAACATGTACAGACTTTTTTCTTGTCATTATTCCCCAAACAATATAGTATAACAAGTATTTACATAGTATTTTATGCCATATAACGTATTATCAGTAATCTAGAGATGATTTAAAGTATATAGGAGGATGTGCTGATGTGATATACAAATATACCATTTTATTTGAGGGACTTGAGCGGCAGTGGGTTTTGGTATCAGGGGGGGATCCTGGAACCATCCTCCATGGATACCAAGGGACAAGTGTATTGGCTTCCCATTCCACACATACCCCAGTGTGCTGTTTACAAGATCTGTGAAAACTCACCACCACCAGATGGACCAGTCACATCAGTCCAGAAGTCAGTTGGAATAACAGTCCTAGAAGCTGACTACTTTGGCTTTTATATTATTAACCCTTCAGCTACCAGCCTTTCCTGCCAAATGTGAGCAACCCCCCAAATGCCTAAGGAATCAACTTCTCCAAGCCATTTCTGCCTCCACATCCATAATCTCTGCCTCTGAATGTAAAAATAAATAAACAAATAAATCAGGGCATGGGCATGGGCATGGGCTGTAGAGGTAGGTGGCCTGTCTTTAAAACCATGTTTTATTCAATTAAAAATGTTGTGTCAATTCCTTCATGCATCTCCTCTAGTCTCCCGAACCTTCCACTTCAGCTCAGCTGCAAAGAATGTGTTTTTAAGCGCCTTACTTGAGAGTCGACTGGAAAGTTCTGCAGAAAGGGTTGTCATGCCACTGGCACGTCCAGGTGAGATGGGTGTTGCTGGGTGCACGGAAGGAGAGGCGATTGATCCCAGGTACTGGTAGGATTGATCATAGGACCATGGTGGGGATGGCTGGATCTGCCTTGTATCTGCAGAGAATCAGGGAGGTAAATTATATGTATGATGGGTTGGGATTTAAAAAATAAAAAGTGTTTTAATAAGAAATTAGTAACCTTTGTTAAAATATGTTATACTTGTACGTAGCCTATTGACAAGTGTTTAATAAGCCTACTTAACTCTAAATACCTGTCTTTGTTGGATGGTTTCTCCCCCAGAGATATTGAAATATTGTTTATGTTTGATTCTTGGAGATTTTCATCTGATAATCATTCCTTCCAAAGATTTTATTTAATCACACTAATTTTGAGAGATGTGGATTATGCTTTCATGGTAGAAATGTTAATGTTCAAATTGTTGAAGTATAATTCTTGATGGTACCAAGTATAATCTGACTGCTAAGACTATTTCAGCTTTACTAATCATTATAATTATCATCAGAAACATTTTATAAATTCAAGTGATCACCTGTCTATCTGTACTCAGTAAGCAGAAAGAATGTAGAGTTTTGGGATTTTTTTTTATATATACCTTTGGCAAAAATATTCCTTGGGTTTGTAAATGTTTCTACTTAGGTGAATTCTCTTCCAAGGATGACGGACAGAAGGTCTGGTTGGGAAACTGGTGATGAGGTCTAACGCTTTGTTCAGAAACCCAGCAGTAGAGCTGGCTTTATCAACCCAGGCCTCCTGCTCCTTTTCAAAACTTCAAGTTTGCAACTTCTAAAGGGCAGATTTTTGAGCAAGTATTTTATAGATTGCCCTTATAGGAGGCCTCGGATCGAGAAGACAAAAATCCGACTTCAAAAGATGTAGACAAAATGAATTTTGTACATTTGACTCCAGCATTTGGAGGAGTCTTAGTTTTCAAAAACATCACGATGTTTGCAGGTGAAAAAGAAGGGGGCAAACCACCTCTAAGGCAGAATGTATGAGCAAATTTGAATCGGACACTGTCCTACCACCAGACAGTTATATACTTCTTTAGAGTTAAACATTAATTTTTTCTTTGTGTCCCACTTTCCCTGTGGACAAAGATAACAGCAAACTACCATAACTCCCAAGGGTATTCACAGCCAGAGCTTCATGATCCTGGGAGTAACAATCTAGGAACAGCAGGCTTCTTTAGAAAAATACGGGGTGTAGGTTTTGTATAAGCTATGACATAAAGAAACGAGCCATTCCTACTCATTATAAAATATTCACATCTGCTCTTTCCAGGGGATTTTTATTTCCAGCAGTTAAAGTTTGCCTTTTCTGTTTACCTCTTTGAAATTGCCATAGTGGACAACAGAATCAGACATTTGGAGACCCCAGTCTTCCTCCCCAGTCTTCTCCTAACAGCCTCCCAAACTCATACTGATCCATTTCTTTTCCTTTTTTTTTTTTTCTTGAAAATAACTGAATTCTTAAGTTTGAAAAACCTGACAGTTTCGAGGCAAATATTTTAACTTGGTATCTTTGAAATCTAATATTTAAAAAGTCTTCATTTCATTCCAAATTTTAGAGGATTTAAAGAGATGGCAACGAGTAAGAGAGCTGGTCCATTTTAAACTCAAAAGAGTTAAAATACGTTCAACTTCAAGCCGAAGATCCTGAATAATCTTACAACCGACAGTGTTTTCAATAACTGAAGGGAAACAGAAATATCAGACTGTTTAGTATTCCCTTGCTACTTCAAGTATTTTGCTCCAAGTGAAAAAAAAATCATATACTCAGTTTCTATAAGACATGTTTATGTCCTAGATACACACATTTACTAAGTGAATATATAGTACTCAAATATTTTAACCATTTAAAAAGCAAACAAAAAAGGTTTTATAATTGTCATAAAGCCCTCCGGGCTGTGAATTGCGGTGTAATTCATGCCTTGTTGTGTAGATAGCCTAGCACCCCTAACCCCATGTCTAAAACCACACTAAGCATAAAGTATTATGCCATGATTCATGCTCTGTCATGTTTTACTGTAGGGAAAAAGTTGTGCTAGGCTTTTCTAAACTCATAATTAAACCATGCAAACGTTGCATAATGTTTCACAGCCTTTTAAAAATATGCTTTGGTAAAATGATCTTTATGATTAAAGTCCAAGTTCTATGAGCTTTTTTTTAAACACAGGGTTATAGATTCAAATCTTCTTACTTCACACCATAACTTAGCTTTCCAGGTGCTGGAGTAGGGGTGCGGGCTGGGGGTGGAGATGGCACCAAAATCCGGAAGCTCACCCACCTCCTTATCAGTTTTCATTCATTTGACCAGGGATCTGTGCTTGGGTTCATAGCCAGTGGTGGGCCAGAAGGTGGTGATGGTGAGCCTCTCGTGTTGGGTTTTGGATGTTTTCTCCTTCTACGTGTATTATTAATAAAAAAAAAAACAAACAAAAAAGGCCCAGTAATGATGCCTTCTGGGTTTAATACTCAGTTACCATCTTTGGCCTGATGGGGCCAGCATGAACGCACGAAGGCAAGTATAGAGTGGCAGTGCTGTGGGCCACCCTGTAGGCTGATAGGCAGGAGAGGTGGGCTCTGAGCCTGTCTGTGTGGGTAGCTACTAGGTGACCCTTTCTTATTTTCATCTCTGAAAGCTTATGATCTCTAAATTTGTTCCAATGGTGACAGGACAGGATTCTATAATAATTCAAATAGGTCCTACCCAGTATTTCTTTGCCTACCTTGTATGTTACTTGTATGTTAAGCAGAGTCAGGGAAGAGTCAGGTGTGGTGTATGGGGTGAAGAATGGTGTTTGTAATAATAAATATGTGTATTCTGGGAAGAGGAAGTAGGGAGGGATAAGGGGAGTTATCCAGAAAAGACCACAGGCTAAGGAAGAGAGCCACTGTCAGTCATTCTCCAGAGCACAGGGCCATTTGTTCTGGAAGGAGTTGCCTCTGATAAGTCAGTGCATCAAAAAGAACAAAAGTTTGGAACATTTACTATGTGCCAGGCATGTACTATGTCCCTGTTAACAAAGGGATGAATAACATCAGTATGGTCCCTGCCCTACTGGAACTTAACATCAGTCAGTAAAGATCCTAGGACTGTGTGACGCTTAGAAAGGCTTCTTCCTGTTGCATAAATTACTATACTGAGTGTTGCTTCATTCATGGATTTATTCATTCATAGGTGCATGAAGTTATTTGCTTGTTCATTCATTCATTTTTTTCCAACAAACATTTTCGCTTTACTAGGGCCACATAATAAATATGTGAACACACATATTTATTAGTATAAGCCCTACTCACTAGTGAATGGAAGGTTTCTGCCTTCTGGGAGTTACAGCTACTGGGGGACCTAGGGCTGTATCCAGGCTAACTTCTAGATGAGCTGCCTAATTTGGACTTGCCAACAACTGTCCCCAAGGTAGAAACAAGAGCCCTAGTGGTATCTATTACATGCTTGTGTTCTGCCTCCGAGAGGATCAGACTAAGGAAAGCATCAAACTTAAGTCACAGACAGATTTCAGTTTGCATCTTGCTTTCACCACAAAGTGTATAACCTTATTATTAAAATCACTATTTTCTCTGATCCCTAGTTTTCTGACTTCAAAGAGTAATAGTGAGGAATAAGTAATATAAGCTATATGTAAATGAAGTATCACAATTTCTGGCTATAGTAAATGCTCAATAAGTCTGAGTAATTTTTATGATTATGTTACTAAAAGGGAAAAGAAATCCATGCCAAGGGACTCCTCTGATGTTTTATTGGTAAGACCACACACACCTGCTCCAGATGAGGCTTAGGTATTATTTTATTCACAGCTAAGGCTTGATAGCCATACTCTTCAGACTGGAGAGGAGCTGGGCTCACGAGATTAAATGGTAAAGGGGGCTGGGTGCAGTGGCCCATGTCTGTAATCCTAGCACTCTAGGAGGCTGAGGTGGGAGGATTGTTCAAGGTCAGGAGTTCAAAACCAGCCTGAGCAAGAGTGAGACCTCATCTCTACTAAAAAAATAGAAAGAAATTAGCTGGACAACTAAAAATATATAGAAAAATTAGCCGGGCATGGTGGTGCATGCCTGTAGTCTCAGCTACTTGAGAGGCTGAGGCAGGAGGATTGCTTGAGCCCAGGAGTTTGAGGTTGCTGTGAGCTAGGCTGATGCCACGGCACTCTAGCCCAGGCAACAGAGTGAGACTCTATCTCAAAAATAAATAAATAAATAAATGAAATGGTAAAGGGGGAAGAGAAAATGGAAGTTTGGGATAAGGATGGAGAAGGCAAGAATTCAATATCTCTCAGCTAATTCAAAGTTCCATTAAAGAATACACTGGATTCGAAAATTTAAATTTGAGCCTTTCTTCCTATGTTTTCCAGGGCAAATGATGTTTTGGTGCAGCCACTTTACCAAGACTATTTTGTGATGGGTTATTTTCAACTTTTGGATCAATTAATAGGTGAAATAAAGCCCCCTTTCTACATTCTTGAGCACCATTCCCTTCCATTTGAAATGGGAAGTTAGGGATAAGGCGGGTTGAGGTTAGCGCTGAGCTCAGATGTATACACGACATATATCGCTTGATAAGAAAGTAGAGTGCTTTTATCTTTCGATGTAACAATATTAAAATGTCTCCAGAGAAAACAATGACCCTATTAGATAATTCATGTCACAATGTCCTGCTGCTTTCCAGTTTCAACTCCACAATCTAAAAAGCGAGGGAGTCATCATTCTTCTCTTTACAACAACAAAAAGCTGAAGAAACTGAAATAATCCATGACTTTTCTTGAGTCCACAAGAGAACTGAAGTTTAGGGCAATGTGCCACCCCCAAATCTTGAGGGGCAGGCAAATGCAATCACAGTGAGGTCTGCTTCCTGGGGGCAGAAGCTGCTGAATCCGTAAACTGAGGGGAACACTTCATGGTGATTTTGTCAAATTGCTGGCTGCTGAGTATAGACTAGTGTGAGAGTAAGAATCTCCTTGGGGCTACAGTCTTGGTGGGCAGGAGTACTTTTGTGGGTTTTTTTTTATTCAGGAAGTCCACCAGATTCTCATGGGATGCAATATAATAACAGTGGGTTAGAGCTGAAACAGCTTCAAG